TCTACTGGATATAACCTATTCCCCTTGTTTTTCTTCTGAGTTGTAATCTCCACATTGATAACTGTGCAGAAGTTGACACACATCTGTAGAAGTTACTTCAACTGTATATCAACATACATTTCTGCACATTTTTTTTTTACCATCAATTGTGAAGGGTTAGTTGTTCAGATCGCAGAGAACAATCTCCTCATCCTTCCTGCATGTCTCTGCTTGTTTCTGAAGTGAGTCTTATGAACTCCTGTGTGTGAACTTTGGGAGAGAAGACAGAGAAAGGGAGAAGATGAGCCATGTGGAAGTCTAAGATGGGCTGCAAAGTTTTGCTTCAGGGCATAGATGTGTGAGGCAAACTTTAGCTTGTTGTGAAAAGTTGATAATTGTTATCTGTCCCTGCTCAAATTCATTTACATGTAAAATGTTGTTGTGATACCTTTATACATGTTGATATTTTTATGAAGATAAGAGCCCTGTTTAGAGAAGTTAGGTAATGAATGATGAAATCTCAGATTCACTTTTGGCTACAACCAAACACAAAGAATTGAAATTTTTTATAACCCTCCATTATCCTTCCTTTCTTAAATGATAACACAGTTCAAGACAGGATGAGTTTGGTTGAACTGCTGTACTGCATTTACCTTGAGAATCAGCTGTTTGAAAAGGAAGCAGGGTTTTGGGCTGATGAAGAAAAAGGACAGCTGACCTGTGGCCAGAATGCTTTTCTCTTGTATGTTGGGTGGATGTTCCTGGTAGAGCTGGTAACTACCAAAAATATTTGTGAAATGTTATGAACACATTTGTTTTGCATCACAATTTTCTCTTTTTTTCTTTTTTTTTTGGTAGAATTGGGGGTTTGAACTCAGGGCTTTGTGCTTACAAAGCAGGCACTCTATCACTTGAGCCACACCTCCAGTCCTGCAGCACAACTTTACAGACAGCATTTTCTATTTTTCCAAATACATCCACAAAGGATATTGCAAAGGTATTTATCTACACACACAAAGTGCCACATATGCAAAGTGCCAGTTATAGTATCCTAGTGCAATATTGTTTACTTTGAGAGAAAAATTTTAAAACTTGGCTTAAGAAACAAATCCTCCAACTACTGAAGATAAGTACAAAAGAATTGTTTCAAAGTGATTGTGCTTCATAAATATGCTAGCTACCTAGAAATTTACATTCTGACTTATGAGGTTGATTTTCCGTATGAAAATGTAGTATGTCACCATGAATGTGAACACTGTGTAAAGATTTTCTAAATATTGAGTATATGCCTATCTCTATTCTAGGTACCATGGATACAGAGTAGGTGCACCTGTTCATCAGGATGTATGTTCAGGCTAATGCTTTTAAAACCCTTGATTTAACTGGGATAGTGAATGATTCTTTTCACAAATACTATCTCAGTAGCAGTCAGTCACTTGTGGCATGTTCTGCAAGTCCCTTTCTTTATGTGTTCTATTTGATAAACCTACAGTTTTATTATATGGAATAGAAATGCTCCTCAAGAGGAAAGAAGAGTTTTTTGAAGAGCAACTTCTCTTTTCAAAGATCTTCTGTATTTTACCAGCAGGCCAAATGGTTCTTTTAAATGCCTATCATTTTCTTAAATTTCTCTGTCCTTTAACCTTAATTATTAGCAATATATATTTTATCATAACTTTAAAAAAGCCAGTAAAATCAGTTTTATATAATTGTCAAAAGTCTAAAAGTAAGATTGAGAAAAATACACTTTATATGACAATTTATTTCAGCTCCTTCACTTTGTAAATGTGTAAAATGAAATTCCGGGAGGATCCAAAGTCATGTAGCATATGGTTGGGGTGAAAGAGCCCGGTAATCTTATTCTTTGTCCAGTTTGTTGTTTTTTTACACTCTGAATGAACGCAAGTAAACTTTGATCCTGATACTAGTGTTTGGCTAATAAAAATTTAGACAGACTACATTTAGGAAATAATTATGTATATATATTTAATTTATTATTATACTCAGGGTACATCGTAACATTTACATAAGTTTTTTATGATGTATCCTAGTCAAATTCACCTCCTCTGTTCTTCTTCTTAATAACCGTATTTTAAAAAGTATTTTAATACTTCTGTTTGTATTCATCTAGATTTTTTGATCCATGAACACTTAGTTCTCTGAAAACAACTAGAAGAACCATTGTCATTTATGGTAACATTTGTAAAAATATCTTGTTAGAATTGACAACATTAAAACAAAAAGTAACATCTATTCACAAGCTGTCATTTTATCATAACCAGTTTCACATTCAAAAATCTCATGATAATAATCCTAAAAACTGTTTTACTTTTAAATGTGCCAAGCACTATGCTTAGAATTCTGTGATTTGCTTGTTTAATCCTGTAAAATACATGCCATTACATTCATTTCCATTTACAAGTGAGAGGCTTGAGACTTTATCATGGAAGTTAACTTCTTAGAATTTTACTTGCCTAAGGTCTCATCTAGCAAGATTGTATGATTAAGATACGATAGACCTTTATATGTATTTTTTCTGATATGGACATCCACAGTCTTCATCAGAATGTGATAATGCTTTCTCCCCAGTTTTTTAGTTCTTTTAGAAGTTGGATACACATTTACATTGACACAGTCTTACCAAGTCCACTCAATCTATAAAGTAGTCTAGATAATATAATTTGGCTATCTTGTACCTTAAAAGTATATCTTAAGGGGTAAAGTAAATGTATCACTTTTCAAAAAGGAAAATTTATTCTCTCTGGAGAAGTGAGAGTAGAGAAATTGGAACCACATTTGGTTCCCAGTTTCTTATGCTTATCTCAGTCCTTTTCCCACTACTCCAAACATCCTTCCACATCCCAAGGGACCCAGTTTGCCACTAATGAAGGAAGTGCATAAACTTGCCTTACCCCATTCCTATAGCCACTGAGGCTAGTGGCCACTCTTCAGGATTCTTGGCTCCTCCTGGCCTAATCCATATACCAGTGCACCATTGCCTACTTTCTACACCTACTTGCCCTGTTTGCTCTTGTTAGTCTGTCCCCCAGACCTCCCACAATGAGCTACCAACTTCGTTAAGGGGCTAAAATGGACTGTCTAGGTATGACCCCAAGTTTCTTGTTCTTTATAATTCTAAGTGTAGAACAGTTAGTCCTCTAGGGTGATTTGTAAATGGAGGAAATTCTTTTTCTCAGTTTTTACTTTTTAAAATTGAAACATAATAATTGTATGTATTTGTGAGGAATGGTGAGATATTTTGACACATGTATACAAAGTGTAATGATCAAATGAAGGTGATTTTAGTATATTCACTACCTCAAATGTTTATCATCTCTGGGTTCAGAACATTCAAATTCCTCTTCTTTAGCTATTTTTGAAATGTGCAATAAATTACTGTTGTCATTCTACTGTGCTATCAAATGCTATAAATCAACCTTCCTATCTAACTGTATTTTTGTATCTATTAACCAACCCTCATCATGATGGTGTAAACCCTACTCCAGCCTACCTCTTATCTCTGGATTTTGGGTGATTGCATTCAATGCTCAGGTTGCAGTTAATAGCTTTAATACTAGTTACTCCTGCTGATTTTCAGCATGCAGGAATTTTGTGGACATTGGGCAATTCTGAAATATCTTCTGCAATATTAAAACTTTATAGAGATTTTAAAAATGTATGTGCTTATTTTAACAGAGCTCGAAGTCAGTGGGACGTCTTCTATTGTGTTCACTTTGTAACATAATCATTAAATTTATGTGTTTTTTTTCTTTCACATTTCTCCTTCTGTATATAGCATGTTTCTTAAACAATTTGCTTGTTGAAAATTTTTGTCTGTTGAGTAACAGGCATTACTGTTATAGGGGAAATAGATAGAAAGATGGAAAAGTTTACAAGGATACTACATTTTCTGTTTTACTAGGGAGGTATCTTTTGATACTGAAGTTTTCTCTTCTTCCTAAAAATATACACACACAAACTCACACAAGCACATGATAATCCCTTTCCTTAATCATCTTATTATTGATTTATTTATAGGAAGTAAAATGAATTCACAAACAAAGTGAAACATAGTGATTTAAGTGAGCATCTTGTTATAAATTCTCTTTTCTCTGTGTTTTGGGGGTGTGTTTAGAAGTTTGTTTTGTAACTGATTTTGTATCTTTTGCATAATCAGAATTCTGTGACTGCAATAAATAGACATTAGAAAAGGTCTTTCCATGCTGCTGTTGAAGCACCTTCTGGGTGCAAGCCAACAGGACGTGGGGTTCACAATTATAGTTGTTTTCCTCACCATCTACTGATCAATGTAATTTAATTCCATAAATGTTTATAGAGGAAGAGCCTACTATGTACAATTCATGCTGAAAATGTTCAGTAAATATTTGTAGAATAGCAAATAACTACAGTGAGAAGCATAACCTAAGATGCTACACAGCATACATGACAGTAAGTTTGAAAGGTAGAAAATAGAAACTACTGAGCTTTCAGCTGATCACAATCAAATCAGAACACATCAAAACAGCTGAGGTTCTGTGACTCAGCATCAGTCAACCAGTTTTGAGTCATCTTACACGTTTTTATTTCTCTTTAGTTTTACAGAAGAGATTTAAACCAGCGTATGTCCTTCCTGTTTGGTTAAATACCTTCTTTGAACTGCTTTGCTTTCACAGTATAATAAAAATGAATGAAACTGACTATTATAAAAAGGCTAACATTAAAATTATTTTTAAAATGATGCTGCTACATTTATGTAAAATAAACCATATGTTCAAATCAAATGCCCTAGTAGTAACATGAAATTTTAAGGTTGCATTATGGAATGAAGTTAATTCTGCATCTGAGGTATTAATGTAATTTACAAATGTGGCAATGGCTATTGTTATTATCTACTTGTATAATTAATATTTGACAGTATAACAAATAATATCTTGGGAAATTCAATATTAAGTTAGTAAATGAAAGCTTAATATTATTATGTTTTCTGGATTCTGACATAAACCTTCTCTTTGTTCTTGTAGGTATCTATTACACCATTCTTTGGCAAAGGCTACTCAACACTGGTGACCCCTTCCAATCCAACACTCTACAAATTATTGTCTTTGGACTCCCAGCTGACACCCTGCCGGAGGCAAGAACTACTAAGCCAACTGGAACTGTGCCTTTTCTCTTGTCAAGGTTTTTTTCTTACACAGGAAAAAGAAAGAAAAAAAAAGATGAAGTTGGGCAAAGTGGAGTTCTGCCATTTTTTGCAGCTAATAGCTCTTTTGCTGTGCTTCTCTGGAATGAGTCAAGCAGAACTCTCAAGGTCCAGATCAAAGCCGTATTTCCAATCAGGAAGGTCACGGACCAAGCGCAGCTGGGTGTGGAATCAGTTCTTTGTGCTGGAAGAATACATGGGTTCAGACCCCCTCTATGTAGGAAAGGTAGGGCATTTGACCTTTCAGAGTTGCAAATGGTTATGGTCAATATCTATGGGTGGATGCAGAACTACTCGTTTTTGCACTGGTGATAGAAAACATAAAACATTACTCCATGAAGGAGTTTATGAAGGTTTTGTTATTGGCTGCCACGAAGTTGTAGTCAGAGTTTCATCAAGTACAGTGGAGTCATAGGTTAGAGAGTGAGGCTCTATCTTTAAGAACAGGTGAGGGGTCCTAGAGGCATGGTTTATCACAATGGCAGCACATTCTTAAACTCTTGTTACTACAATTAGAGTATTTGCTAATAAATGGAGGGTAGTGGGTTCTTACACCAGCTGAATTTCTAGTTGCTGATTGTGAGACACTGTGAAAATAACTTGCATACTTAGATTTATGCGTGTATGTATTTCCTGACACTTGCCATTTAGAAACTGCAAGGTGAAGTGGTTGAACTTAATGGTTCCAACTTATGAGCATTTCAAGCCCACTTTTCTTCATGGTCTTGTTTTTTGTAGATCGTTGGTTTTGCTTGTTAGATTGATTTTCTTGCTTTTTAAAATTTTCTAAAAATGAGCGTGAACAGAGGTCAGCTGGAAGTAGCATTACACAAATCATGAGTAGTTCATGGCACATGTGTTTGGTGGCCAAGCGGTGGCCAAGTTGAGATTTTTTTCCCACAGCTTTTACCTATCTGAGTTTTGGAGCAGAGGCTTTCACCTGAGGACCTACTGAATGGAAGGGCACTTCAAGGAGCATGATTTTTTCCCTCCACTCCATCCTTAGATCAAATTTCCAAAGATTTCCTGAATTTTCAATTTGGTGTTTAGTCCTGTTACAAGTGTACTGGAAAAGACACACCAGCAAGAAGTCTATACCCCTGTATTCTACCTTCTGCTTTGTCATTTTTATGCTTCTGTTCCTCATAAAATTAAGCATATATAACAGATGGGTTTATTTATAAATAAATTTTTCAGGTTTGAAAGCTCAAGGTAGAATCTTATTTTAACCGAATAATCTTGGTTATTTTTTTCCTTAGGTCATTGTTTTCACTTAATTTTACCTTAAGAAAATGTGAAAAATTATTTTTCTTAACGAGCCTTTATGGTGTTTAAGGTAATCTTTATTGTGTTTATTATTTTTTTCTTGTAGTCTCTCTATATTTTATAAATATTAACAGGTACTATATTGTAAACAAAAGGATTTAAATAAATTAGTGTGTTCTATACCTGTGGATTAAGATTACTTTTTGTCCACTGATAACATTTTCCTGCCTTAAGAAAGCATATGTAGATAAAACGTGTTTTTATTTATGTATGTATTTCTCATGGCCACTCTCTTGTGCCAATAGTATCAGCATCTATACCTATGTTATGACACATATTATAAAATATGTATATAATATGTGATAAACTTGCCCTCTTACCTGCTTTTCTTAGAAAAAAGAAACATGAGAGCAGTAATCATAAATGTAATGCCTTGACTAAGAATCTAGCTCTTAATTCCATTCATTTCAATGGATATTTAGCGAATTTAGTTTTCTTTAGTGAGCACTAATATTTAACTAATCTTAAAATAGACCATAGCTGTTAGGTAAAACCATGTTTTTGTGAAAATGTAAATGTTTTTATTTCTTTATTTAATTATTCATTTATTCACATGTGCATACATTGTTTGGGTCGTTTCTCCCCTCTGCCTCCCTCCCCCACCCTCTTACCCCTAACCCCCTCAGTTCCAGGCAGGTCCTGTTCTGCCTTTATCACTAATTTTGTTGAAGAAAAGACACAAGCATAATAAGGAAGACAAAGCATTTTTGCTAGATGAGTTGAGGATAGCTATACAGAAATATTCCTAGCATAGCTTTTGTGAGCTGGTGGATTGGCTTAAGTTTTAGAATACCTGCCTAGCAAGTGTGAGAACCTGAGTTCAAACCCCAGTACCACCAAAAAGAAAGAAAGAATGAAAAAAAAGGTCAGGAGATATAGGAAGAAGTAGAAAACCCAAAACATGAAAGCATTTGATGTCCCCACTCCAGAGGAGCAAGTACGGAAACCTTAAAGCGACAGAGAGCAACGTGAGAAGGGGATCAGTAACCAGTGTAAAGATCAGTAAATGTTTTTAAAAGCAACAAAAATTTTACCATTAATCTGGTTTTAAGCAAAGTTGTCTATACTAGATTGACATTTTAAAAATCAACACAATTATAAATTTTTTTTATTTCATATTCTTCACATAATAATTCAGAATGCTTAAACTCAAATAATTCCTGCAAGTTGATTTAAAATTATGAAAATGTATGTCTTGGAGGTTGTTTAAGCACCAAATGTGTACGACATTACTGGGCAGTATCATCTATATCAAAGAGAAATTGCATGGTTTCTTGATTAGAGAATCAGAGATTACTTAGCAGAGTTTATTTGACAGGAAAGTAGGTTTGTATTTATCTCCCGATGCTGTATATTCTGGGCTTAGTACAACTGTTCACTGTGAAATGCCCAGGATGGAAATGAGCTTTAAAAATTCTTAATTGACTAAAAAAAAAACTTCTTAATTGACTAAAGTACAGAAGAATGTCAACATGATAATTTGAGATGTAATGAGGATTTGTAAATCAAAAAAATAAATCCAAGACCTTACATTAACAATGTGTATTTCATTGTAACAAGGTGACCAAACATGAAAACTGTAGATTGTATAGCATGAGCTGATAAGTGATGCTTTTTGCATTCATGGTCTGAATAAGCAGAGGAACAAAAATAACTCTGACCTCAGTATATTTTTGATCACTTGTGTATACAAAGTACAATGTTTTTGTTTCTTTGTTTAGTTAAAGGAGGTGATGACTATGACTAGAAGTGCTTATAGGACAGCAAACTAAACATTCGTAGACAAAGATGTGGAGGAAATATGGACAGATAATCATGAAGGAAAAGAACTAACCTTATTAGTATTTTTCACAGATGTCTGTCAAACCTAGCATAGTTAGATGTCCACACTGTTAGTCATCTAGACAACATCTAGATATCTAGGTAACTGGAGAATGTAAGCGATGACTCTGATAAATCTTACAGCTTAATTTGATGACATAATGGATAAGTACAGTGTGTGTCAGAGTGACATCAGTTCTATTGCTTGCTCTACCCCATCCTACTACTTCTGTAACTGCCTATTAATAAATTTTAGTTTCTCCTAAAATGAGCTTAATGATATCTGCCATTTATTTCTGTTACTTGATAAAAATTTCAAAATATTTGGAATATGCATTCAACTAATCTAGACATTCTATATTCTACTTCAATACCTATTAATAAATTCACTGGGTATTGATAATGTATTGCATTATAGGTGAAGTGTTTTATTTGTGATCCATCAGGTGAAAGTAGATACTATTTTATGTATTGCATAGTGTTCATAATTATTCCAATTAATTAGAAAGAAAGTCTGCTTTGTGTGTGCTTAGAAATGCAGAAATAATTTCTGTAAATTTTTTCAGACCTTCAAATTTGTAGACTGTATTAATAGCTGTGGATAGCAAGCTCAATTAAATGATTATGCCATAAATAAAATTTGGTCATTAAGACATTGAAGATAATGAGGTCACAATATGGCTTTTGACCTTATTATTTTAGCTAATTTACTGAGATTGTTTGACATAAGATAACCTGAGACCAAAGTTGAACAGATTCAAATGGGATCAGGAGTTCTTCAATGAGAACCATGGCTGTTTTCTTGTCCTTCTTTGGGGAGCATGAAGTGGAAAGATCTTGCCTTTGGCTGTTACAGGTTGTCATTTTTATGTGCTGTTCGCAGTTCATAGCAGCTCACATTTTCCACCCGTTTCATTGCATCACATTGAACTTTTCCAACCTCTTTTCTTCACATTGGCATTTCTCTCTTAACATCCCCTAACCATCTGACAAAAAAATCTGTCTTCAAAACTGCCCAGCCTCTGTTCCAGGTATTAAGTAGTTTTCATCTTTCCAAACTGTAGTGGACTGTCAGCTGGTGGCTGCACCTGAGGCCATTACTTTCAAGGAAGTATGTGCTCTGTGCATCTTCCACAGTCTGCTTCCATTGCTCTTCACATCACTCTTGCTCCACCCCCCTATTTTTTGCTATCTCCTTTCTTCCTTACTGATTTGGGAGAATTTATACCTATTACTCTAGTAAGAATCAAATACATAGAAATGCAGTGTTCAGGACTGTCTTTCCTTTACATCAAAGCTTGCTGGAGAGCATCGGTGAACATTTGCGATGCCTTTCATTACACCTCATCACCATCTCTCACTAAGAGACTGTCTCCCGGGATATAAAGCTGCATTCAGTGTTTCAGAAAAGAAATTTTCACCATGAAAATAGGTTCTGTTAAATAACAGATTAGATTCCTTAGCTGGGAAATTTTATGTTAAATACACAAAAAGAAAATAACGAATCCCAAGTTTTAGTTACTTAGTGAAGAATATGTTCATCACAGTAACATATTTTATAGATTTTACTAGAAAATAACAAAGTGTCTAATACGCTCAGAATAAATCCTAAGAGAAAACAAAGCCAGTTTATTTTTCATAAGTATGTATAGAAGCCCATTTTCATAGTATGTTTATAACCAGAGTTAGTTTGTTCTTACTTTCTTGGTAGCTTGCTGATAAAAGTGTGGAGCTCCTGCTGGTTTCAAAAGGAATTTGGACACAGATCAGCTCTGTGGGATGCAAATAAGTTCAGATTTTTAGAAGTACCTTCAGGCAGTATTTTTAGCTCTTACATTAATCCAGTGTAAACATAAGGTATTAAGTGCATTTTTTCCACATAAAATCAATAATTGAAAATTTTTGTTTTGTTTCCTTTTTACCATATTGCAAATAGAATGTCACACTGTGTCACTGATTATGTAAGTGCAATATTGCTGATTATCTTCAATGCTATCTTAAGTTGCAAATGAAGATAATAATTCCGAAGGCTTTATCAGATAGAAATAAATAACTGAAAGTTGGAGAAAGTGAGGAACT